GAAAGTCAGAGAGAGAGAGAGAGGGAGGAGACACGTACCTCATGCACCATGAGGTGGTCTGCATGACCGACGTCGTCATGTACATTGATCTTCGGCTGGAGTATTCGCTGGTTGCATCTTCGTAGTTTAGGCTAGAATAGATGCTGAGTGGTGGTAGCTGGGCGCTGGGCGCCATTTGAGAAGAGCGACATTGGATACATTGTTGATTATGGTGAGTTGGGTTCACATTGACATTTCAGTTCATTCAACTTCATTGTATTGCTCTTATTTGGCTTGTATCCCGGTGCATGCTACTTCCTGCTTGGTACACAACTATCCGGTCTTCAATGTGATGTTGCAATAATTTGATTTTCTGTCTGCCCCTCTTGCTCATGTTCCTTGCAACAATGTGCAATAGTACGGAACTAGGATGTTCAACTGATTCTCTCTCTCTCTCTCTCTCTCTCTCTCACACACACACACACACACACACACACACACACACACACAAATAGTCTAACCCATCTAAAATCACATGCAATACCATTCAATTTTTCCATTATTCTAATGGCTTTAGGAGAAATATAGTTTCAGAAATTTGCTTTGATGCCTCTTGGATTGATTGGTTCTGCAAGTCTTGGGCTCAGCGGCAATCTGAACATTTTCACACACTTGGTGGCGTGTAACATTTATGCAGTATAATATCCCACTCCTGAAAGCTCTGCGAGGAAAGTGAGCGAGAGCGACAGACAGAAAACCAAATTGCATCACCCATCAAAGAGCAGATAGTCGTGTGCCAAACAGAAAGTAGATCGCACGCAGATAAAAGCCAAATAAGAGCAAAACAATGAACTCATATGTCAATGTCAGCCCTCTCTCGTCACCATCAACCATGTATTCAATGTCGCCCTTCTCATATGGTGCTCAGAGCTGTTACATGCCCAGTTGGGCGATGTACATAACAACCCGAGGATCCGCAATGTGATAAAAAGGACTGAATGGACAATGCAGGGCAAGTGAAATCTCAACAAGCAGTGTACATTCTGATACATACAAAAAATGGTGCTTTATAGCGCAGTGGAAGACTTAGATACAAGTCCTGACCTGACCGGGACTGACCTCTATCACGTAGTGCAAGACAGCGTAGCAGACTGGTAGAATACCAATGACTAGCCCAATCAATGTTGCAACRCAGACCAAACATACATCATCCTCATCACAAAGTGTGAAGGGGCCTGGCGCTACACACAGGAAGGATGYGCCAGGTCCAAATCATGCACAGACGAAGAGGAGAGGAACAGACGAAGAAGAGGGGGGAGAGATGGGAATGTCGTCAACAACAAGTCTTTGTTACAAGTCCCAAATAATCCCTCGTCAAAATGTCTGAAGCCCAATATCAAGTCTGGATCCAAATGTCACCAAGCCCGCTCTCTCATAGTCTGCTGATGCAGTGAAGTCAGGTAGCGAGAGGATGAGAGGGCGATGGTGGACTGAGCAGAGAAAGAARAACTCTCTCTCTCTCATATGCCAAGTACTAACCTGTGAAGATGGCGCTGTGCTGCAGGTACCTCAAAGGCGAAGCTGGRTCTATGGCGCTGCAGGTAAGTATCCCTGRCCTCCACCCAATCTCTCTCTCCCTAGTACTACTCTAGCTCCTAAGGGCGCCCAGCGCTGAAGACTACTGCTAACGCTACTAGCGCCCAAGGCTGAAGACTACTGCTAGCGCTACTACTACCGCAGCGCACCTCCAGAGTGCTGCTGCCGAATCCTGAAGACTACCTCCTGCCTCCTGAACTGCAYGTGAAGTGACTGGGAAGTAGCTAGGAACTACCTGCCGGCCTGGAGGGCGGGCCAGTCCTACATAATGCTGGCCCGTCCAGGAGGCTGCTCTTGCCAATGTTGAAATGTGCCCAGACCCTGGCGTTGAAGCTCAACCAGGGGTTGTCTTGAAAACAGGCCCGAAATGGCCTGTGCTAAAACCCTGGTTTGTTGCCTGAGTTTCAGGGCGGGTCGAACTGATGAGGGCCTGAAAATGGCCCTCAGTTCCAGGCTGAAAACACTCAGCGTCGGAAAGGCCCTGATTTAGCCTGAAACGACACAGGGCCTGTAGGCCCTTGTTTTCAGGCTTTCAGGCTGAAACGACACGGGGCCTGTAGGCCCCTGTTTTCAGGCTTTTGGCCTCTAAAACATCACGAGCCTGAAAGGGGGCCCGTGCAGCCTGTTGCAGGCGCAGCATGTAACAACCCCCCCTCCTTATTAAGTCAAGCCGGGGCAAGGGCGAAGCTGACAATCTGAAGGTGGAACGTGGATGCGGGTGCGACGTGGAGCCGAAGATACCGGCTTGCCTTGCATCTTGCATTCGTAGCATGCGAGAACATCTGGAGCTGCGCACGGGTCAACCAACGGTCAACTCTGTGACTGCAGTACGCAATGTGTACCAAGTACTCGGTTGGCCTGTTGCCATAGCACCGCTGGGAGATGATGTCGCCGACCTCTTGAAAACCATCCATAGAGGGTGGGTCTTGCGATCGTCGCCCGGGAAAATCTTCATGTTCCGCTGGCGTGTAAAGAGCCAACTTGGAGCAATGAAAGACCGGGTAGACGGGCAAGTGGGCGGGCACCTGAATGGTGAAGGAAGGTCCTTCGGGTGCATCCCCAGCGGGTGCCACGATCGGCCAAGGCCCCATCCATTTCGGGAGGAGCTTGCGAGAGATAACTTGTTCAAGGCTGAATTCCGCGGCGGACACCCAAACGAGATCGTCGACGCGGAATGGGCAAGGAAGACGCTGGCAATTGGCCTGTTGGCTCATGCGTTGCTGCGTCTTGGCCATCT